GGTCTCGAGTTGCGTCTCTTTTGTCGGGCAGTTTCGCGAAACTGGAATCTCATCGAGAGTAAAAGGTGTCGCAGCCTTGATGGGAGCGCGAGAGAGGAGGCGTCGCCGGCGCGTGGAAGCGTCCGAATCGGCGTCGACGATCGCAGATTGCCCGGCTGATTGTGCTACCGGCAATAAAACGGTCTATCGGGCCTCGCGCTGCTTGCGTCCCGCGCGTTGTTGCTTAGTGAGGTTAGGTGGGGTGTTATCAAGCGATACGATATCTGTTGCAGTGAACTGCCTTTCCGTGGTTAGCTAACGTCGTTCACACGTCGTTTCGTCGTCGTTGTGATGAAAGTGTGTACAGTGAGGAGAAGAATTCGAGAGGAGCGACACAAATTCGGAGATGAGATACACTTGATAAGATAGACGACACTTATGGACAGGGTGAATTCACTTCGATGATCGACTAGATAGGACACAGATACACAGTTTAGGAACATAGATACTTGTGAAATGTGTGGATTACCGAGAGAGGCAAAAGTTCAATCGAGGTGTTGTAAAAGTAAGATAAATGATCAACAAACGAACGGTTCTTGTGGGTTAGGATGACGGATCGTTCGAAGGAGTGACACTAGTGACTGTATTCGATAACGAGGAAATTATAGAAGTTTAATCAGCGTGGTGGAAGAAAAATTTTAAATTTTATTCTCGTGATAAGATAAACACCGACTCGAACAAAACGTTATACGAATTTTATCAACAGGAATTGTATGGAAAAAGCTGAGTTTCTTGTTGACGAAGTAACACAGTTTAACACGTGAACAAATGCAAACGATCGGATCGTGTGACACGGAAATTATAAATGCAATTCGAGTAGTATTTGCCGAAGAAAGTTTCGCTGTGAGATCAAAACAAAGCATGAAGCAGTGCACGCAGTAGGCTAGCTGTATAAAGATTGATTTATTTGATAGGTGGTACTCGTAAAAGTGTCTTGTACGACTTCGAGATTTATCGGGGGACAGAATCGGATAGAAACAGCGAAGGATCTGAATGACCTGAAGAAATTGTAGATGATAAATTGAGAAAACTATAAGTAAGCAAAATTGGACATAAACAAGAAATATAAAAAATTTGAATAATTTAAAAATAATTGCGTCGATCAAATAATATACATTATAATAATCGAAATAATTAAAAATTCGGTAATAAATAATTCTATGTAGGCGACTTATTAATTTTGTTTCTTCGATATCTTCTATATGCGGAAATCTTCAAACGTTTAACGCATTACGTAACTGTGTTACTAGTATTCTACTGAATGGCAAATTGATGCTCAATCGTGAAGAAGACAACAAAAGTGAAAGTGACAGGACTCTCTTCGAAAGATGAGAATAATTCTTCTTATAATATAATTAAAAAAACAATTGAAAATAAGAGGCAAAAGAAAATTGAAACATTTTCGAAAAAATTTAAGTCAAATTATAGTGTGGTATCGTATAATTTTTCCTATAATATCATTTTAAAACAATTGAAAATATGACTTAAAAACGAATTTTAAAGAATTGAAAAATTTTCGAAAGAAATTGAAATAAAATTCTAGTGTATATCGTATAAGTATACACGTGTTGTCAGTTTCGAAAGAATAACTCTTATAATATCATTTAAAAACAATTGAAAATATGACTTAAAGAGAATTTTCAAAAAATTGAAAAATTTTCGAAAAAAGTTCAAGTAAAATTCTAGTGTGTATCATACGTACACGTGTTGACAGTTTCGAGAGAATAATTCTTCTATAATATCATTTAAAAACAATTGAAAATATGACTTAAAGAGAATTTTCAAAAAATTGAAAAATTTTCAAAAAAATTCAAGTAAAATTCTAGTGTGTATCATACGTACACGTGTTGACAGTTTCGAGAGAATAATTCTTCTATAATATCATTTAAAAACAATTGAAAATATGACTTAAAGAGAATTTTCAAAAAATTGAAAAATTTTCAAAAAAATTCAAGTAAAATTCTAGTGTGTATCATACGTACACGTGTTGACAGTTTCGAGAGAATAATTCTTCTATAATATCATTTAAAAACAATTGAAAATATGACTTAAAGAGAATTTTCAAAAAATTGAAAAATTTTCAAAAAAATTCAAGTAAAATTCTAGTGTGTATCATACGTACACGTGTTGTCAGTTTCGAAAGCTTACTCGCCAAGCTGATGCTTGCAATTTTTCGAAAGTGAAAACGTGCTCGCGTGGCGTACACATTAAGGCGAGAAACGAAGAAAAAGAGAAGATATTATTTATCGTTGGAGAACGATATTATCGGTATTATCGATGCCGTCGAAAGAGGAAAAATTGACAGTGAAATGCTGCAGTTGAAAATTTGCCAGAGGTCGTGTTAAAGGATTACAGAAGAGAACGAGCGAGCGTTAAAGAAGAGAGTGCGTATAAAAGGGTGGATAATGCACGAGAATGAGCGCGAAGGAAGTAGGTGCATTCATTGTAGACGAGTCTAGGCTCAGAGGGTGCAATTTGATAACCTTTATCACCAGCAATCGCTTTTACCTTGCCAGTAAGGATTGGCTTTACGAAAATTGCTATCGACCGTTGGGAACGTATTCACGTGAACTTCATCAACGTTACTTGTGAGTTTATACCGCCTTCCTGTTACGTATCTTACCTCCAGTTTTAGTTGGAACATTCTGGGAATGTCTGAGTAATCGAAATAAGAAATATCGATTGATTTAGAATAAAAGATCATTTTTTTAAACAATTCTTTTCTCGGTTAGAGAAAATTTCGTATTTGTTTTCTTCGAAATATTTTGTAAATTACTTTTGTTGAGTAGGTTTAATTTGTTAGGATTAGTTACGAGCCAGTTTTATTCATTACTACAAAGAACAGAAAAAGTAGA